ATGATAATCCTTTACGTAATACTGTCAAAGATCTGTGCTATTTCTCTATTTAGGATTTGCCAAGTGAGTGCCTTACTGCCGTATCGGCCTTGTAGCTTTCTGTAATCTGAAGATCTTATTCGTATAACTCATATATTACACAAATACCCTGAGATCTCTTAGTTCCAATGAATTGGTACAACCACAGTTACAGGGTCTCAAGTTTTTCTGGCTATAATGATAGTTATTGAATCCATTTTTCGAAATTCAATTTTCATCTTTAGTAAAAATTGAACTTGTACTCAACTGCTTGGAGTACGATAACTCCACCACTTCACTAAGTTGCTACACCCTAGTTTTTGATAATTTTATATGATTAGAATCATTTTAATATTGAGAATAATTTTGTTAAAGTACAAAGAAAGGTTTACTCAATAGATCAGTTCCAGTATACTTTTTACTTTATATTTTTTTTTACAAGAAGATGTGTATTAATTTGAGATATACATGAATGTTAATTCAATACTGTATATGCTATTTTTGAAGATTCTAATTTTTAAGATAATGCTTATAGACATTATTTTATACTTATATAGTATATAAATTTTTTTTTGTATAAATTTTTTTATATTTGTGCCAATAAAATTTTTTGAATTTATAATATTAATTATAACTATTACCCAAGATTGCAAAATTATTAACCTGGCAAAAAAAAATATTTATATTACTAGTACCAAAATTTAAAACCAACTTGAAAAAAGGAAGTTAATATTAGTACAGGATAATTAGATAACAACTTATTGAGGCTGAAGACCATTTTGTATCTAAACTTTTGAAACCACTTCTTACTGAAGATTATTGAATCAAATGTTTGAAGTAGGTTTTAAAACATAAAAATTTTGATTAGGACCATATCATTTTCATGGATGAAAGTATATTTAAACTACTGTATTTCATTATAAAAAAAAAGTATGGCAATTTAAAGAGAAGCAAAAAATATTTTGTATCATTAAACATCCACAAAAAGTACATACTTGGGGATGTTTTTCTTGTCAGGAATTTGGCAAGCTGATTCTCTTTACACAGAACCTGAATAGTAAATTTATGTATAAAATTTATAAGAAAGATCTTTTACCTTCTGTATAGATATTTTTTGAAAAACAAAACAATAGGCAGATTCTCCAGAAAAACAATGATCTGAAACACCAGTTGACAATTGCAAAAAATTAAAAGGTTAAAATAAGATTAAAGTTCTTTCTTGACTGTCGGCATCTCCAGATCAAAATCCAATCAAAAATGTATGGCAGATTCTCAAAATAACATTACAAAAAAAAAAAATTTGGACAATTAAGGGTTTGAAGGAAGAATTGACGAAAGAATAGAATAAACTTCCTCATGACCTTGTGGTCAAATTAACACATAGCATGAAAGCTCAAGTTTTAGAATTAATAGAAGCAGGCAGGGATTATACAATGCATTAAATTGTAATTTTATTCTTGTACTTTAAAAATAAAATAAAAAATTTTATAATAAAAATTTTTTTAATCGCCCTGAGGGTGGTCCAGTTCCCGTGACCACAACTGTATATTATTTTAAAACTGGCAAATTAATCAGTATAAGGTATTCTAAGTAAAAAAATATTCTATATCTTTCCAAAACCCCTTTTTAAACTTAATTCTAAAACCGGTAGCTGATTTTAAAGTGTGCAATTATCAAACGATTGATTATTTTAGAACTTGTAATGTGTCAAATAACTGACTCTAAGAGGGTTATATTTACGTCAATTCCCTAAACCCAATTTTAATATATATTTTAATTACAGTATATACTATCACTATATTTCAAATTATAACAACCTGCTTTACGAGTTTATTCGATCAATTTATTTGCAAAAATCCTTTAACAATTGACCAATATTCAATCGAAAATTTGGCATTCCACTTCTATATAAGGCAAATAATAATACGTACGTACGTACGTACTATAAAATTTGTATTCTTCAACTGCGGATTACCTCTTAATATAAATGTGTAAATAAGAATCACACCTTGTATAAATGGAGATTTAGATTGTGCTACAAAAAAAAACAATTTTTACGTAAAAAACATTTTGGATCTTAAACCTTAGAGTAAAAAAATCTAATAACGATGTTCGGACCAATCAAGTCGACCCTAAAATTTGTTCATGCATTTTATATAAATCCAATTCTCAAAAAAAAACCCCCCCATTCTATTATTACTATAACTTTGATATAAGGCCATGACTCACTACTATGAACTTTACCGTAGAAGCAGGTTAGTATTTATTTATTATTTTTTATTTTATTTATTTATTTATTTTTTTTTGAATGTTCAAAATTCTCTGATTCACCTTTGAATATCCCAAAGCATTGGAATGGCTTTGACTGATTCGCTTGATGAGTTGATTCAAACAAGTCATATTGATCCACAACTGGCGATGAAGGTTCTTCTACAAGTATGTATACTTATTCTGGGATTTGTTATTATTAGGTTTAGACTCGGAAAACCGTGTTAACAAGAAAACGCTTTCAAATTATTAATTTTCATACGTATAAAGTTTGATAAGAGCATTACTGAAGCTTTAGAGACGAAAGTTAGAACAAAAGCAACCTTTAAGGTAATCCTTTTATTAAGATTATAATGAATCATGTTCATCTTTTGATTTTAACTTTTATTAGGCAGGGCATCTTCATACATATCGATTCTGCGACGAAGTATGGACGTTCATTATCAAGAATCCAAATTTCAAATTAGAAAATGAACAAGTTCATGTTGATAAAATCAAGATTGTAGCATGTAATGCAAAAAAGCCTGGGGAAACTGAGCCAACAAAAAACTAAGACTTGCCGCAAAACTTTTTTTTTTTGCGTGACTTTTTTGACATTGCTTATTTTTTTCACTCTTTTAATCGCAAATATTTTTATACCATCTAAGAAAGCAACTATGACGTATTCGATTTGATTGGAATATTAAAATTAAATATTACATTCCTATAAATAGTATTCACAGTATTCTTTATTTTTATATAATCGACTCATCAAAAATCGATACACGCTAATAATTCTAATAAAAGTTGTCTCAAATGTCTTATCGTCTATATGTATGTACAAATGAGCCATATCTAAAATCCTTTATCATGACCACCTTGCTCATAAAAACAGTTTAGCTTGGCAACAATTCGTTCGAGAGCAGTTAACCAACGTTCATATTGTTCATTAACCCTTGCTTGATCATCACCAAGCTTTTTGTAAAATTCAACACGATACGGGCAGGCTTTCATAGCAAGCTTTTAAAATAAAAAATAAATTAGGCAAATATTGACAAAAAAACTTATTGATTATTTATTAAACATACCGCGAACACAGGGCGAACCAAATAACTATGGAATGGTTTCAAGGTAACACCGTATGCATTTGTAAAAGAAACAGAAAGTTCTTCGGTTGTCTCGTTAATCGAACGACGTAAAGCTACAGAAGTAAATTCTAATCCTCTGTATAATATATGAAATACGCCATATGAGGTCAAACAGAACATATTAGAATTCAGAAATAAAAAAAAAATAATTGTTTCATGCCTTTTTAACCACAATAAACCTTCAGTAGCTATACGTTTCTTTTCTTTTCGTTCGCTAATAACCAAGCTTTCAAGGGTATTATTTCTTATGCGATCAGATTCATAACGTGTTCTAATTTTCTATTTAAAGATACACGATGTAAGCGGTGGACGAAAGCTGATACGTTGTATACTACTGAACTTACATTAACATTACCGGTCATGTCCTTTTGAACGACATTAAAAGCCGAACTTCCAAGCAAATCTAATCCAAAAATTGTAATTCAAATGTACAATGAATAACTTTTTTTCATATGAATAATCTTCAAAACCACTTACCAAACAATTTAATCAGCCCTTCAGTTGCTTCCAAAAAAGTGACCGTGTCTGTACCTTCTTCAGTTATAAGGACATCGCAAAAGTCTCTTTTAAGGGTGTCAAAGTAAGTTATACTTGTCATGATGTGTTTAGTAAGAGATTTTCGTTGTATATATGATAGGGAAATTATAAAAAAAAAAGTAAAATAACGGATAAGTCTGAGGCTTGTTAGTTTATATATAATAGTAGGCTAACGTCAAAGAAACACATGCATGACCGTAGGACCGGTCGTTGTTTAGAACCAATCCTTCAAATACAAAATTATATAAGGTGTTATGATTATGATCTGGCTATTTACAAAATATTAAATTAAGTACAAAATTACCCGTACCAATTATTCCTTATGAATGATTATTACTTACGTATTACGTTTTACAAATCTGGAAAGCAACTTTTTTAAACTGATCAGGTTAACAGGCACCCGATTTGTCACGCAGATCACAGGGGTAAATTTTTTACTATGAAATTTGAGTGATCGACATGCATATGAT